ACACACACACACACACACACACACACACACGCACACATAGGCACACACACACGAAACATTCACACACACACACATATACACTCACAACATACACATATGCACATACACACACACACACACACATACACACACACACGTCACTGCAAGACATACACACATGCACATGCGTGTGTGCTATGCTGCTTTCTTCTCCCTGCCTCTCTTTGAGCGCCGCACACCGCATTCCTCTTTTTCCTCTCGTGTTTCACGCTTCGGACTGCACCTTCCCTCAGCCCCATCATGCAAAGCATGGTCCATTTTTGTTGGTTCGGCTGATGACAACGATCTTCCTTCATTGTGTGACTTTCCTCCGTTCTCACCTGATTGTTCGATCAAGTTGATCACGTGCGAACTGCTGCCGCCGGATCTGCCACAGCATGAAGCTTCCTTTCCCAATCCATCCTCGCTGTCCACATCCATGTTGTGTTCGAGGTTTGCATCCCCATCAGCTTCCTCATCATCATTTCCCGCATCACGACCATGTGTCATAGGAACTCCCTCCATACCACCACCTTCTTCCCTCTCCATCGAGTCTGGGGCTATCTGCGAGCCAGAGCCAGTGCATACCATGTGCATAAGTTTGTCCCCCTCATCTCTGTTATCCGTTAAAGGCTCAGTAGTATCCCGCGGGCTTGCTCCTCCAAATACCAGTGCATCTCCCGCATCGTGCTCCCATCCACTCCATCCTCCATGTGACGACATGCCTGTGTTGGCTGCCGAAAGCGGGTCTCCCAGTCCACTGCGCACCCGTTGGGCACCCCCATCTCCGGCATCTCCCGCATCTTCGTCGGTTGTGGTCTTCTTTTCCCCCCTGTTCCTTTGTATTTCCTGCCTTTTCCCCACCACATCCCGGACCTGCCGTCTTTTCCCCTGGCACCGTACCAATGCCCTCAGAAAACGGGTTTTTTAGTAGCTCATCAACTAATGCCTCATGAGTTCCCTGTTCTTTACATTCGACGTCCTTCCTCTCACGTCCTTCCTTTTCAGCAACACTCGTCTTAACGGCTCCTTGTCTACACCCATTTCGGATATTCTCTTCCATGGCTTGAGTGCACCCCACCAATATGTCACTGTCGTACATTTGTTCCGTCTGACGATACTCCAATGCCCATCTGATCTGTCCTCGTGAAGGGCTCGATTTTCTCTCATAGAAAGAAGCGCAATACTCCAGAAGATTGTTTTGAAGCAGCGCATCAAATACGGAGTTCACCTTTTCGCTGATATCTTGCTCTCCTGCACCCTTGTTTGCCTGCAGCACGCGCAACAACAACTGTTCCTTTGCAGTCTCAAGGAACTTACTTCTGCTCAGTCTCTTCTTCAATATCTATTTCCCTCCGACTCGGACAGCCATGTGCCATTTGCCATCAAACACACATGGCTCAAAAACACCCGGATGCCATATGATGTGTTGGCCTCATTTGTACACCTCGGTCTCTGTGAACTTGGTGTTCAAAACGTGAGGTCCTCCTTTGCTCTCCTTCATGTGACTTTCGATTTCATCTCCAGGAGTTAGATCTTTGTCCTCGTCGTCTGGAATGTGGAACAGCGGATTGTCCTCCAGACACATATCATCCTCCTCGGGCCCCGCGTCGTCATGTTGACCACGAGTTTGGTTCTCTGTTGGCATTTCCATGATGTGGTCGAACATTTGCCGCATCCGCGTTGGAAACCCTGGGGCGCCTCTCTTGTCTTTCCATTTCGAAGTGCTTGCCTCGGTACCATCTCCTGCGGATGACGTCTGCGTATGTGTGAGCTGGGCGGTCTTGCAGCTGGCCATTGTCGGTCCCCCGACTTCAACCACCGCCGGGTCCCCCCCCGATAAGGACCCGGTGCGCATGTTCTTGTCAGCTGCGTGGTTTCTTGCATCAGGCAGCGGCAGGTCGATCTCATCATCATCGGTATCCTCCTCATTGTCCATCATATCGAAACGGTCTTCAGGCTTCAACGCTTCGTTATAAATCCTTGCGTCGAACCACAGGTCCTCGCAACGTGCCAGAAATATCTCGATTGCACCAATCTTGGCGTCGTGGTACCGCTGGAGGTGTTGGAGAGCGACGACTTTTCGCGCAACGTAATCAGTCTCCGTTCGTGTGTCAGGAGCATTGCAGAACAAGTACTTCCATAAAGATTCCCTCTTCTTTCCGAGTTTCAGGAACATGTCTCGGTCTGGCCAATGCTGGGTTTTGGGCCGTTCGAAGTGACAACGACTTTCGGAATTATGGACGAGGTGATCAATAAACCACGAACAATATTCGAGCATGGTGGTAGAGCCGTCACATGCCACCACATGACGGCAAGATCGAAGCAAGTCCCAAACTGACCCAGATTGGACGTTGCCCATAAGAAGCACACTCTTCCCCTCCTTCGAAAACCACGAACACAACTCCTTCATTCTTGTTGGTTGTCTCTCCCAGACCCCATAAACAACTTTGTCTTCGCCGGCCACGCCGATGTGCTATTGTGTGCAACAGACGAATATATCATCCTCGTAGTTAGTGTCAAAAGCATATTATCACGTTTGGACGGAACGGTGACTTTTTTGAAGTCATTGCCTGTGTCGTGCAACACAATCGTCATTGAGTCGCGGCTCCTCAATGGAAGATTCCCAAAGGGGACACATGAGGATGGTTGCGTGCCATGATGTCGTCGCCAGCGGCCCGGAAGAACTTTCGCACCCCCCCACCTGAAGATGTTCCTTAGAATGTAGTCCTCGCCCTTCAATCCACTAAAAATGATGAGTGTCCAATGTGTCTCACATAGAGTCATCATCTTTTGCTGAAGTTCCACAAACCTCTGCTCCGTCCATGAATCCAGATTCTTGTGGGGAGCTAGGTCCAGCACCGCAAGGTGACAACTCAATTTCTTCACAGCACGAGTCAGATCCTCTATCGGTTGCAGCCCATCCAACGACGCCATGCACACAGGCAAATACGTTGTATTACACTTCCGCTTATCCCACAGTATATGCTGTGCATTTGCGTTGACGCGTTGAAGCTCGTCCTTCAACTGGCTCACCGCTCCCACTATCTCATGCAGAAACAATTTGATGAAGTACGGGCACTCGATATACATTTCAGTCGTCACCTTGTACCCCCCCACATTCCCCTGTCCCAACTTTCCCTCATCCACCCCCCCAGTAGTTTTGGCACGTTGTTCGTTCTCTGAATTGGAAGTTTCATCTTCTTCTTCTCCCATTTATCTTTTGTCAACCAGTGCGGCTGAAACCTCTTCATAATATCATCATACCCGATGAAGAAATTTTCATTCCACTCACGCTGTCCCCTACATTCCGACTTGAAGAGCACGTAGTTGAACATGCACACCATGTATCTCTCCCTGCGCACTTCTGTGTAGAGGTCGTTCATGTTCATCAGTTTCTTGGCGAAAGTCCTGCCGGTGGTGACAACGACCTTCCCTGCCAAAATCAAATCCAATGCCATCTCCTTCTCCCTAGCAGTGAAATCCCCGAACACTTTCCAAGCGCTCGCCGCAGGGTCATGAACACACACATAGTACCCATTTGGACTTTTGTTCGACTGCACGTAGTGCACCAGTTCCTTTTTCCGTTTCACTATTTTGGCAGTTGGACCTGCACCGGACGCCTCGCCTGGCCTCCCCTCTTGATCAACCGGCCTGACTCCATCCTGCCCAGGCAATTCCCCTTTCTCCCACATATCGAAGAACCGGTTCACCAACTGCCACACTGCGTTGCCAGTGGTGGCAAGGCACATGAACGGCCTCAAGAGGTTGGACCAATTATGGACAAATTTGTTGTTCAGCGACTGATTCCAGAGCTTGGTGTCTGGTGTCATCCGTATCGCTTCGCGCAGAAAAGAGTGATAGTTCTGCTGCTGCGCCACCTTCTCATCTTTTGTTTTAGCCAGATGCCAGTCACCCTTCGGGAATTTCATATGACGCCACAACCCTCTTATTGCGGTGACAGCCATTCTGAACGACAAAGGGATATATCGAGTCTCCCTCGTGTTGTCAAATGTGGAAATGTAGGCATACCCGTCAAGATGGTCATCATCGAAGTACACCGCACGCGCTTTCCATGACTGCACGCCCCATTTCCTAGCAGCTCGAGAGTTTGCTCGCTCCAACCTCTTCGCAGCATCCACCGTGTTTTGGCCTGCTACGACGTACCAATGGTACGAATTGACATCCTCGTCCCTCCAGTCCTTGGGTTTCAAACGTTGCCAATGTTTCTGCCCATTCCGCATGACTTCTATAACAGGAGTCAGAATGAAGGTGTTTCTGTCCCACTCTTTCTGTTTCTCTGGCCGTTCCATAGAGTCTTTTATGGAGGCGACCAACATCTCGTTCAAGGGTCTGTGATTGTACTGGAATTCCCCGTTGTCTGGGTTCGGCAAAATCTTGCGGACATCTACGAACACCTGAACAGGCCGATCGATCGCATTGCCGTCGTCATCATACTCCTGAAAGAAACATCTCGTTGTGTCGATAGCATCCGACACCAATTGTTCTGGTTTGGACGTATTATCTCGAGGGTCAACCCCGACCGCCTCGTCCCCGGAGTCTGCAACTTCCTTTGCACCGTCTGTCTTCGCTTTCTTCTTTGGTCGTTAGGAAGAGCATGGTCGCTCACGTTTTTCCTTCGCCAGCTTCGCCGACTGTGCGTCCAATGCCTTCTTATACGCCTCCTCCGAAGCTGTCAAACCTATCAACTTTGACTGTCTTCGCCTCTGCTCCTCATCACCGCTAGCTCTCGATTTTCTCTTCCGCGAGCATACAAATCTCTGTGTGTTGAGGACGTCCTCGTCTCCAGAGCGAAGCCTCTGACTGTCGGCGCATTTGCGAGACTCATTGACAGACACTTCCGCGAGCATACCAATCTCTGTGTGTTGAGGACGTCCTCTCCAACCCCTTCACTCCCCGCTTCGTAGCTGTCTTTGTCCTCCGCCTCCCCAACCCCAGTTTCCTCGTCGTCATCGCCATCTTTGAGCCCACGATGGTCGTCACCGTCTTCCTCGTCATCCCCACCGTCATCGTCGTCCCCTCCGTCCTCGTCTTCCACCCCTTCCTCGCTGTCCCTGACTCCCTGTTCGTCACCGTCACCACCGTCGTAGCCAGCGAACTGATCGTCTTCGTCTTCGTCATGTCCTTCGTTCCCTTCAGTATTTCTCTCAAGCACATGTTGCTCAACTGATAAGTCGTCCTCCGTCTTATCAGGATCCTCGCAAACTTCGCTGCCACCATCATGACGTGAAAACGAAGCTTCCACCGGACCTTGCCATCGCTTCAGACCCGGCGCTAACCGTTTGGACACCGTATTCGTTAGTGAACGCGGCGCGAGATCAGACTTATGGACAGGCTCAGACTTCTCTACGACCTTATCACGTTCGGTAATTCCCACCGAGCTGATTTGTCGAGCACCCGGGTCCCCACCGCCATGAGGCGACCCAGCAGAGATCGCACTGTGTAGAATAGCCTGGCCCAACACCTGCAATTTATAAGACCGAAGCTTCGATGCGAACTCGTCAAGTTGAATATCGAACGGTATGAGGGGTTCCGAGAGCGCCAATTTGTTGTCCACCGTGCACACATGCCTAGACACCTTGTGACAGTTAATTCTCTTGAGAAAATCGAAAGGGCGGAGCATCACAACCTGCGATCCGTCTTTTTTCCGCGACTTATCAAAAGGAGGCATAGCAGCGACCCGCATGCCGTACCCGACGAACTTCTGCAAAATGCAGTGACACCTAATTGTACTTGTCCGGTTCCTCGTTACCATCAGCATCGAAGCAAGTGGTGAGGTGAAATCTCATGTACTCCTCAGCAACCTCCAGTTTATCAAACACGTAATTCTTCACTCCACCGCAGGGGTAGTAAGCCCCGCTGGAATCTCTCAAGAAAATGATCGGGCCGCAATAGGAAACTTTGATGCCCATGTGCCAATCGAGCGCCCAATACTTATCATGGAACGTCGTAGCCCTGCCAATCACCTTTGGCATCGACGCACCCGAGGAGGTCTCTTTCCCAGCTACACAGACACCACACCCGATACGAGAATGAGCACGCAATTGAATATGCACGGTTTATGAGCCCTTCAGAGAGAGAGAGAGAGAGAGAGAGAGAGAGAGAGAGAGAGAGAGAGAGAGAGAGAGAGAGAGAGA